TTAACTCATGGTTAAAACAAAATAATATCAACTTGAAAAATAAAACAGCTAATCAATTATACCCAATTAATCAGATAGCACAAACACCCTCAAGATCTCCTTCAAATCCTAATTCTAATAATTCTCATCTAGTTTATCATTAATATTAATGATTGACTACTTGCAGCAAAAAACCTATTTTAAATTTGGCATAAAAAAAAAGATCCCACGAATGAATATACACAACCTTTAATTATAAAAAACATCTTACTATCAACCGAATTTGATTAGCTTTAATTACGCAAACACTTTATTCTATATACCGCTTTGGTATTATTAATTAATTGCGATTTACCAAATTGAGTTAGTATTAAACTCAAGTTTTTATCATACGCATACGTGCAACACGTGCAAAAATGAGGAAAAAACGAAAAATTCGAAAAACTAAGCACATTGACAAGACTGGTTTCGTGCAAGATATAAAAGGACGTTTTTACTAATTAGTTAACAATCTAAACCAAACAATTAAAACTTGCTACGGTAATCTATTAATAACCTAAACCATCTGCATTAGATAAAATTAAAATGTTACGCCAAAAAAATTAAAAATAACGGAAACTTACCAAATCAGATGTTGCTTCAATCAATTATGATAATCAAAGGCCGTATTTTCTCTTTGAAATTTTCAAAAATTAAATCTGAATTCCTTAGTTTTAAACTAAACAAATTTTGTGACAATGTTAATTTACACTTTATATATTAAAAAAAAAAAAAGTAACAGGCATTTATTTAATTGAATCATAAAGAAAGTTTCAATAATATTCAATTTGATTGGATCTACAAGGAATCAAAGGAACCAATTTCAATCAGAATTTTTTTAAAATCAAACACCCAACGAAAGTAAAAAATTTGTTCCCAAAAAATTATTATAATTTCATTATCATTGTATATGTCATTGTCATGTCATTGTCAATGTCATTACCCTTGTACTTGTACTTGTCCTATTCTTTAATTCTTAATATTAAGAAATCAGTTCATTCTCATGAAACTCTGATTTACTTTTTTGGGACATTCTTCAGTTAGACCGGTTTTATTATTTATTTTAAACGGTAATGGTGATCATCACATAAATTTCCAAAAATCGTTACGGAGTTAAAAGATTCAAATGTCAGTTTTTTTTTAGTTAACAATAATCCCATTTGAAATGGCGCGGTTTAATTATCCGTGGAAACAATTTCCCGCAAAATTTTTTTTAAATAAATAGCGAATATTTCTTTCCTTTCAATATTTAATCCAATAAATTATAATAATAAGTAAATAATTATTATTTTATAAAATAATCATAACGACAGTAATAAAAAAATGGCTATAATTGAAAGCACAACCATGTATTTAGTTGTCGCTACATTCCTCGTTGGCTATTATACTTATAAATGGATAATTTATCCATTATATTTATCTCCTTTATCCAAAATTCCTGGTCCTCGTCCTGACCATTTTCTGTTGGGAAATTTCTTGGAAATTATTAACCCTACGGTGAGATCATTCATGATTATTTATATATATAAATAATTATGTTTATAAAAAATTTGACCTCTGTTACATTTAATTTAATAAGGGCGGGATTCATTGGGCAGAAAAATATGGCAATGTATATAGGTGTTATGGATTATTCAATGAACCAAGGGTTTATATTCTTGACGAAAACAATATTCAAAAGGTACTTGTTACTGACACGTATACTAAATTTAGAAGAAAGAAAATTATGGGATATTTAAAAAAGATTATTGGAGAAGAAGGTATTTTAGTGGTAGATGGTGATGTACACAAGAAACAACGTAAATTAATGAGTCCATCATTCAGTAATCATAGTATTAGGGTAAATAAAAAAAATTTACATTAACAGGTTTGTCTGTGGGATTAGTTACATTAATATTGATATTGATATTATTATTTAGGATATGATTCCGGCATTTACAAGGGTTTCTAATACATTGAAAGATATATGGAAAGATGAAATAAAGAATAGTCAAAATGTTAATAATGATATTGGTAAAAAAAGTGCAATAATTGATGTTGGTTGTTATATGGGAAGAGTATCTTTGGATGTTATTGGCATAGTTGGTAAGTGATTCTATAATAGGATTGAACAGGTAAAAAAATAATGCAATTAAAATCACTAGTCAATGTGTTTAATCAAATCAATCTTCACACAATTAATCATTTGTTACTTAGGGTTTGATTCTGAAATAAATTCTTTGATAGAATCATCAAGACTTGCTGACTCATTAGCCACTCTTTTTGATAACAAATATGGGGTAGCATTTAATTTATTATCAATTGCTTTGCCCATATTGAGATTGTTGCCATTAAAAATAAATCAAGATATTGAAAATGCTTCAATTGAAATTGAAAAAATTACAAGGAAATTGGTTCAAAATAAATTTGATGAATTGAAAAAAGGTAAATTGGATAGCAATGATTTGATAAGTGTTTTGGTGAAAGCTAGTTATGGACAGGAAATAGATAAAAATGAACAAATGAGTTTTGAAGAAATAAGAAATCAGGTAATTGTTATTACAAAGAGAATGAAGGAAATGATTTTTTTATAATTATCATTATTATTTTTAACTAAAAAAAATTTTTCAAGATTATGACATTTTTGATAGCAGGACATGAGACAACTGGTGTTATGATGATTTGGATATTGTATTATTTGTCCAAGGATCAAGAAATTCAAGATAAACTCAGAGAAGAGATTGTTAAAGAATTTCCTGATAAAGATTCTGAGCTAAATTTTGATCAAATCAATTCCATGGAATATTTAAATGCAGTTTGCAAAGAAACTCTTAGAATTGTCCCTCCAGGTATATTATTATAATGAATAAGAAGAAGAGAATATTGTTATGATTATTATATAAATATAAATGCATTTGTTATGTTTTTTTTATGTTATAATAAAAGCTACATTGGTGAGTCGTATAGCAAATGAAGATGTCATGATTGATGAGTATCTTATTCCAAAGGTATTATTTTATTTATGCATCTGTTATTGTCTTTTAATATTATTAATATTAATATTAATATTAATTAATTTAGGACACATCAATTTATATACCAATTTATCAAATTCACCATTTGGCATCAATTTGGGGTGATGATGTTGAAAAATTTAATCCATCGCGCTGGTTTACAGAAAAAGTTAAAGGTTTTTCTCATTACAAGCATCTGCCATTTTCAGCTGGGCCAAGATCATGTATTGGTAATAGGTTTGCATTGAATGAAGCAAAAGTTGTCTTGTGCATTTTATTAAGAAACTTCCAGTTCCATGAAGTTGAAGGTTTCAAAGTTACAACTAAAGCAAATATTACTCTTAGACCTGATCCTACTGTGAAGTTGTGGGTCAGTGAAATTGATTATTAATTAGCAGATAAGGAAGAATATTATTATTATTATTTATTATTTATTATTTATTAAATACACTCAAATCGGATGGACCCTTGGTTCCATATTATTATGTTTATTTTTTATTTTATTTTTCCACTGTAACAAGAGACAGTTATAAAAATATTATAAATGAAAACAAAAAAGTCTACTGTAATGAGCTTCGACTGTTATTTTGTTTTATAAAATTATAAAATTTTATAATTAATTGGACGAGACTCTTTTTTTATAAAAGTAATGCTAACACCATCATCAACATATTTAATAAACAGTGATATATTGTATATTAATATTAAATTTTTATTATAAAAATATGTGCGAACAAGAATAATACTATGGAATGATTATTATAAAAGATACTAATAATTAAAGGATATGAATTAATGAACGGATGGGAATGAATGTTTATGGGAAAAGAGATAGTTGATGATTATTTAATAGACATAGATTTGTATATTTCGAATTCAATTCTATGGTAATTATGTCAAACAATAATATTATTATGCTTTGGCTGATAGTCGTGCATATTTTAGGCGATGTATTTATTTACATATTGATAATTAGAAATCTCTGGTCCTTGTAATACATATATTACATCTACAACATAACCCTATGCCCATCAAAAGAAAGATCAATTCTGCCGATAATTCATTATTACTATGTGTATATATTATAGCAAAGTTGTTCGATGGTTAAAAAAAGATTGGGTTTATATGAATCTTGTGACTTCGTGGAGAGTAATAATATAAGTGGTATATAGGTAGAATCATAATAGTCAATTTTTAAAATATTCGTCGATTTTGGATTGTTTTGAATTGGCTAAATCCTAAGTTGCTTAGCTTGTATAGACTTGATAGGCGTCGATCATACCAAGTAATTCTTTTGTTTGGCATATCGGAAAGGACCAATTCCCAATCAATTTTTGATGGTAGAATCCCTAATATTTGGGAAGATACATTATGTCTACTTGATGTTCGCATTAGTTAATTAATAATTGGATTCAGAAAAAGAAAGTTGAGTGATTATTTGAAGACATTAAATTGTCTATTAGCAACTCATGTAGATAAAACTAATAGAATATAATTAACATATACCACATGATGCATAAAACAAAATTTATTTTGATGATGATAATAATATCAACAATAACTAACACACTAATACCCATGGTGGAAAAAATGCAAGTAAGAATATCCAGGATGTAAAGCAGTTTGTCAAAAAGGCTATTTGCTAAATCACACAAGGCACATCTTGGAATAAAGAACCTTAAGTGTGAATATCCAGGATGCACAAAAGCATTTATTGAGTTGCATCAATAATCACCACCACCATTGAAAGATTTTTTTATGAAACAGCTAATATAATTGTTTCTGGATGCTCAGATTGTCCTTTTTTTGAAATTCATTTATTATTATAAACAGATGGTTACCCCTCATTTTAACAAATGTATTTTTTGTTTTGATCCCTTGTTTTTATTATTATTAATTAAAAAATTCAACAGGTTTTTTGATAATAATAGTGGCAATGAGTAGGGCTGACAGCGTAAAGGGTTAAAATCCTAATTTAGCAATAATTGTCTTGACTAAACTTGACTTAACATATGACTAAACAGTTTAGTCAGTTTAGCCAAGTGCTGATTTGAGTTACGCAGCCAGTCCTGGTAGTGAGATTTTAATAATAATATATTAATATACTTAATATTAAATCTGTTGACTGTTGACTATTACTGTCTTTCATTGTTATTGTGATGCAATTTATGTGATACGTATGAAAAATTTATTTTCTGTGCAAATAAAAATTTGTAACAAAAAATTTTTAACAGATAAAAAAATTTGCCGTGTAATTTTTTGCAAATTAATTTCTTTTTTTGTGTTAAGTTCTGTTTGGTTTTTGGTGCGATCAACGTTTTCATCTTGTTAAGCGAATTTTGAGTCCTACGGCAAATATTCCGTTTATTAAAAGAGTTCTTTGCAATTGCAATTGCAAGTGCCTTACCATTGCCTTACCTGCTATTTGCAATGATATTGCAATGAACTTCCGTTCCCCCAAATTTTTTTTATTCGAAAAAATGTTCATTATATAGTCGAATAAAAAATATGTTGATTTTTGATCACCTATCGAATTGGGATGATTCATGATAATAAATGAGGTTTTGTTGTAAATGATAGATATCATTATTAAATATTATTTCCCTTTCTCTCTAATTCGTCAATTCTTTAACTTGCTTTTAGCCTTCTCCTCTAAACCAAAGCAAAAATTAACTAACCCCTTATCAATCTCCTTCTTATTCCGAGTAAAATGCATTAGAGCATATTTCTTATGAACTTTCCTTTCCCCAACTTCACGAAAAAAATTAATCCTGCACAGCATAGATAATCTGGTATTGCTTGGGTCGAGTAATTATAAAGTCATACCAGTTTCCTGTAAAAGGATTGAGAGTTTCTTCTAAGCCTAAGAAGTGAACGTCCTCACGGGGATTTACAAGATTGATATATAAAACCATTGTTTATCTTGGATCCAAGGTTTTACTCCCCTCCTTGTTATTTTGCTCTTTCATGGCTTCAGCTTGCTTCCTTAAACCAAACAAGCAATCCTCATGCTCAAAGACACTTAAAAACCAACTACTCCAAGATTAAGGATTGGCAAAAAAGGTCATAATAATAATTTATATCACCAGAATCAAAATAAATTCCGTCAACAGGACAATTTGACTATGGAAAAAATACTTAGAAGAACAATCCGACCCGCTGAAAGTTGAAAAGGTGATTAATTCTAATTCCCAAAAACTCACATCTCTCCAAAGCAAAATCTTGCCTAATTTGGTTGTCCCTGGGTTGAACAAAATCCGAAAAACAGTTTTTTTTAATTGTTTACACACCGCGCAACCAAAATTATTACTTTTAATTGGGTAAGAATAAAAAAATACATCAAAGTCCGAAAACCGTTTTTTCAATCGTTTACGTGCCCTGGAGCTGCGCAACTGAAGTTATTTGAATATTATTATTTTTTTTTTAACAATAAACAATATCTTTTAAATTATGGCTAGAATTTACGATTGATAATTTTTTTTTTGGTACAGATAACGTTATACGATAACAAGAAGTTACTATTAAAGTATTAAAGTGTGAGTTCTTTGGTAATCATGGATACGCACGCATTCATTAACAATTATAATTGATAAAATGTTTATTGTTGTTATCAGTAATAATTATTAGTATATAATAATAAAAAAAATTTTCAATAAAAATAACTGACAATTCAACAACATTTTTTTTTAATATAAATTTTGATAGTTATTTTTAAACACCTTTTGTTTTTTTTTAACACTGCTACAACAATAAATCTATTTTTAAACAATGGCATCTATTTTAACATCTATTGTATATATAAAGGTTGCGAGCGGTGCAAATGTTTATATAGATATTGCATATAGCAGAGTAGATGATGAAAAATTTGTAAAGTTGAATTTTAAGGTATTTCGACAGAACTTTGAAGAAATTATCCGATAAATTAAGGAAAATTTCATTATGGTGATGGTTGTAACATTTCTTAGTGTTAGATCTGAATTATTTGTAATTTTTTTTTAATAATTTCGATAAATGACAAAATGTAACAAATGATTTTTTTTTGTGTAGATAACTGTCATCCAAGCAATAAACTTGGACCTAAAAACTTTGAACGAGGAGCCCAACATACATGATCTACTGATAGCACCTCTGTTTGGTGCTTTTTTTTCTCCTTGTAAAGAAAAGGCCAAGCTAAAGGGTGAACTAGATCAAAACTTCTTCATAATGGAAAGGAACACTTACAATTCGTTCACCAGCACATCTAACAAAGTAATGATTCCATGTACATATACGGTCTCAAATGGCAGACATTCAACCGTAGCAGATGCAATAAAATCATCAGCAGTCTTTTCAGTAGTGGGTGAGCTGTTCGTGGGAAGGAACATCATGCAAATCAT